TATGTGTATATATATATATATATATATATATATAAACTCCCATATATATATATATGGAGTTTATAAAGGAGTGTTAACTCACACGATCACAAGGTCTTACAACAGGCCATCTACAAGCTGAGGAGCAAGGAAGCCAGTCCAAGTCCTAAAGCTGAAGAACTTGGAGTTTGATGTTTGAGGGCAGAAAGCATCCTGCATGGGAGAAAGACATAGGCTGGAAGACTAAGCCACTCAATTAACTTCACAAAGATCTTTAATTATTTTTTACGCTTGGTCTAATTTATTGCCAAAGCTTCCAACTGTATTTTGGAATTCTTTTGATAATTTTTTTTTTTAATTCTGGAAGTTCTATTGGTGTTTTCTTATTATATCCATCTCAACTTTCATATTCTAAATTGTTTTTCTGGTTTCATTCATTGGTTTTCAACTTTCTATTAGATCTTATGATGCTTTCTTCTAATTTGTATTTTGAATTCTTTATCTGTTATTTAAAACTTTTCAATCTGGTTAATATCCATTGCTAGAGAGCTAGTGTGATCCTCTGGAGTTGTCAAGATATTCTATTTGTTCTGCCAAAGTTCTTGTGCTGATTTCTTCTTATTTGAGGAAGCTGACACTTCTTACTTTGAATTTTCCATTGTTTGAATAGGACATTTTAATTTTTTAATTATTTCTTTTCTTGAAGATATGACTGTGGTGTATGTTGCATATGATGGTTTAGCCTCATTTCTGGGTTTCATAAGGCCAAGGCTTAGTAGGGGGTCCCTTGGTTGTGGATAGATTCTGTACAGTTGTTTTCTTAGATGTTACTTGTTTTTATGATATATTAGACATAAGATCTGACACACTATCTCCTGTGGGGCTGAGGGTATGAAAATCTCAGGAATCTTATCTTGGGGTCTTGCTCTAAGTCCTTCTGATGGCATGCTTTTAGATGAGATCGGGCGCATTCAGGGTGGTATGGCTGTGATGGCACGTTTTTTTTGTTTTTTGTTTTTTTTATGAGATGGAGTTTCGCTCTTGTTACCCAGGCTGGAGTGCAATGGCGCGATCTTGGCTCACCGCAACCTCCGCCTCCTGGGTTCAGGCAATTCTCCTGGATGGCACGTTTTTAATTTGGTAGACAGTTCAGGCTGCAATCCAGTATATGGTGCTTAAGAGTAACATCCAATTTGTCCTGAGTTAGAGTGAAGTTGAGTTGAAGCACTTGCCCTGGCCCTGATAGGGTGTGGCATAAAGAAATCATGTATGGGTGTGTAAAATTTGGTGGAAATGGGCAGGGGAGGTTCACTAGTTTCTCATTCTTGGCTGGCAGAAACATAATCTGCCTCACTCTCTTGCCCCAATACAGGGCTCATGACCGTCATTTCGCAAAGACCTTGTCCTCTGTTTCCTGGCCACAGTGCAGCTGCAGGCTGGAGACATGCTCTTCCAGTGACTATCATAAAAATGGGTCCAGGGTGGACCCTCTTTCCCAAGTCCAGAGCAGGCAACTCCATGACCTGTCTGTCCTCCATCACTAGATTACTACTGTTATGTGCAGGGTGGGGTAGCTGGATCCTGTCCGTCATGTAAGCCCAAGCAATGCAGGTTTCACTTTTAGAAACAAAGAAGATGCTTTATCTGGGTGCACACATGCCAGTCCCCAGCAGGAGGAACCACTGTTGCATCCATAACAGTGTACAGTGGAGATGGTAGGAGATTACCTTCTATCCAGATTCATTCCTGAGTGTTGGTACTGCCTTCTTCAGTAATTCGTGCTATGCCTACATTCTCTTTGTCCCAAGGGAAGACATAGTGGGCTACACTCCCCACTCCCTTAGGGGAGGAACACATTGAGGGTTAGATCTCCAGAGGTCCTGCTGTTTCCCCAAAATTCTCTGGCCCCTGGGCCTGCCAAAGTAGCCATTTGTTGTATATGTTTGCCAGGGATTTGGTGTGGTGACTCCAAGATGGAGAATCCTCAGGCAGGGCAGTGGCATACCATAGATGCACAAACAGTATGGCACCTGCTTCCTTTAGATGGGAAGTTGGTGCAGCCATATTCTGCAGGCTAGCCACCCAGTTGTCTATCCTTGGGAAGTTCCAAAATTGCCAAAAATAGCATTACCCCAGGGTCAAGAGGGCAGAGGAAATCCCCAACAATTTGGTGGTCAGCAGATTGTCAGAGGTGTGAGGGGAGCAGAGAATTACATTTACCTATCTTTTCACAGGTTCTCTGTGGGTTGACTGCTCCCAGGCTTTTGCTGCTTTTCTTTACTGCACCACAGCTGCTGCTTATGGGTGCTTTACGAGTTCCTGGCTCGCTTTCTTCATTTTTCATTTGGAACTTCCTTATTCACCTGTAACTTTGATCTTTCTGAGGAGAACTGGAATTTGATATCCCCAGTCAGCCATCTAGAAAAGAACTTGTTTTTTTTCTTTTTTTTTTTTTGTCAGTAGAAGAATGATATGTCTTCCTCCATGTAATTACTTTTAATCTATTCATCTTTAAAGTAGATTTCTTAGAGACTGCGTATAGTTTGTTTCTTCTTTTTAATCCTTTAACAAATTCAGTCTTTTAATTGGTCCGTTTAGATTACTGGCATTAAAAGGGTTTACTGATGTTGTTAGACTAATGGTGATCATAATTTTACTATTTTCTATTTGTTATACTTGTTCTCTGATCCTATTTTTGTCTTCTCTTTTTTCCTTCTGTTGTAGTTTTAATTGAATAGTCTATATGACTGATTTTATATGACTATATAATTATAAATTTTTATTTTATCTTTTTTATGTATATCAAGTTTCTGATCTATATGAGTCTCTCTAAAAAGCTTCTTTTAACATTTCTTACAAGGAAGATGTACAGGAAAAGCATTCCTTCAATTGTTGTTTGTCTGAGAATGTATTTATTTCTACTTTACTTTTAAAAGAATTTCACAGAGTACAGAATTTTAAGTTGGGATTTCTTTCTCTTAAGACTTTAAACATTTCACTCCACTCTTCTTGCTTGCATGGTTTCTGAAGAGAAGTCTGATATAATATTTTCTCTTCTATAGATAAAATTTGCTTTTCCTTCTGGTTAGTTTTAGGATAAAGTTTTCTTTATCTTTGACTTTCTGTAATTTGGAAATAACACACCTACATGTAGTTTTTCTGGTCAATGATAACTTATTTGGATATTTTTAAATAACTTAGGGAATGTAATTGAATTATTTGTAACTCAAAGGATAAATCATTCTTAGCATTTTCTAAGGTTCCTGGATCTGTGATGTAGTGTATGACATTAAGAGAAACTTTTAGTATTTTTTTTTTTTTGAGGTGGATTCTCACTCTATCACCAAGGCTGGAGTGTAATGGTACTGTCTCAGCTCACTGCAACCCCCGCATCCTATCTCAGTGTTTCTCCTGCCTCAGCGTCCTGAGTAGCTAGGATTACAGGCGCACACCACCACGCTCGGCTAATTTTTGTATTTTTAGTAGAGATGGGGTTTGTCAGGCTGGTCTTGTACACCTGATCTAGTGATCTGCCTGCCTGGCTTCCTAAATTACTGGGATTACAGGAGTGAGCCACTGCACCTGGCCAGTAATTACTTTTTTAATATTTCTTTTGCTCCTTTTTTCTTTGTTTTTATTCTAACATTTCCATTGCACACACTTAAATAATTGTCCCAAAATTGTTACATAATTTAAATTGGTTTACTTTTTAGCCTTGTTTCTTTTTGCTTTTCAGTTTTGTAGGCTTTCATTGATATATCTTCAAATTAGAGAGTCTTCCTCAGCTGTGTTTCTATCTACTAATAAGCCCATCAAAGACATTCTTTATTTGTTACAGAATTTTTTATTTTTAGCATTTTTCTTAAGTTCTTAAAATTTTTATCTTCTACTCACATTACCCATCTGTTCTTGCATGCTGTCTACTTTATTGATTAGAACACTTAACATATTAATCATAGTTCTCTTAAATTCCATTTTGAAAATTTCCATGGCCCTGACATATCTAAGTCTAGTTTTAAGCTTACTTAATTTATTCAATCTATGTTTTTTCACTTTTGGTATTACTGGCATTTTTTTTTCATTACAGTTAAACATAATGCATTCAGTAAAAGGAACTGCTTTGATAAGCCTTTATTAATATGTTTGAAGGTGCTGGAGAAGGGGTAACATCCTATAGTCATATATTTAGATTTTATTATTTTAGTTATAATCCAATGACCTCTAGATTATAAATTTCAAACATACTTCTCAGTTTCTCCCCATAACTGTAGTTGTGACAGGATGGCTTAAGAGGGCTTGAGTTGTATATATTTTTTTCCTTCCATGAAGAAAGCTAGAGGCAACTGAAGCTTAGTTTCTATGGCTTCATAACCCTCTTACAATGATAAAATATCATTATTCCCCAATAAAAAGAATCATTAGAATTATTGTCTTAATATTTTTACTCATAATTTTATTTTTTTTCTTTAGGATCTGCACACTAGAGCAAACATTGTAAGTTATGAAACACAATTTTAAATGATTTATTGTTTTATTTTGGCTGTTTCCACAGAATTGTCTTCTTGGGCTTGTCTTCAATATTAAGAGTCTCATCATTTGTTTTATATATTGTATTAATTTATGCCATGAAGAAAAAATATGAAGAGAAAGATATCAATGCATCAGAAAATGGAAGTGTCATGGATGAAGCAAACTTAGAATCCTTAAATAATGATCAACAACTTGTCCCTTCTGCTGGGGCAGATAGTAAAACACATTATTAAGGGGTGAAAAAAAAGAAAAAACACACTTCTGCTTTCATGTTTCCAAACAGCATTGCATGTCATTTTTGAGGAGTTCCTGGTCCTTTCACTAACAATTTCCACATCTCTTATAGTGGAAGTATAAATAAGGCTATGAATTTATAATAAAACAAACTATGTAGAAAAAAATAATAGTATACATTGTTAGGTTATAGTTATGTATTTGTGGTTAAGATTAGACTATATGATCCATACAAATTTAAAGCGAGAGTCATGGTTATTGTGTAATAGAAGAAAAAATACTTGCTCAGGTAATTGTAACTCTTAATAAAACAAATGAGTAGAATATGGGTAGAGGTAAAAAGAGAGGAGGTAGATTAATAGCCTAAGTAAAGAGAAATGCCTAATGTCTATTTTATTAAACAAACACACAGTTTGAACTATGATACTGAGGCCTGAAATCTAACCTGGATGTATGCTGTAATGATATCTGTTACTCACATAAAATCATATATTTCACAGACTTTATTAATGTATAATTCAAAACTTTTTTGTTTAAATAAATTTAGAATATATTTAAATATTGTTGAGGAAGTAAAGACATTCAAATATTTGCAAGCCATGATTGTCAAACAACATATTACTTATTATGTGTTAAGTTTTTATTAGACCCATGATAATGAATTAGGAAAAACTGACTTTGACTAATGTAGCAACTCTCATACTTCTCTTAGCTAGATTTTCTGGATCATTTGCTGCAGCTTCTACATCAGCACTTACTTGCTTCTTCACTTTGTGCTTAGGTATTGAAACCAGCCCCTTTTGTTAAACCCCATGAACCAAATTCTACCGCTTTTTTCTTTTTCAGCTTTCCCATAGAATGACAGAGAAGTAGGGCCTTGCTCTAGATTATATTTGGCCTAAGGGAACGTGCTGGCTGCTTTGATCTTCTATCCAGGCTACTGAAGTTTTCTCCATATTAGCAATAAATCTGTTTCATTTTGTTATTATTTGTGTGTTCACTGAGGTAGGACTCTTAATTATCCTCAGGTACTTTCTCTTTGCATTCACAACTTGGCTAACTGTTTAATGTTTGACTTATCTTGCCTCTTGATTTGCCTTCCTTACTAAACAATAATTTCTAATGTTGGATTTAAAATGAGAGATGTGTGACTCTTTCACTCAAACACTTAAAGGTCTTGTAAGGTTACTAATTGGCTTAATTTCTATGTTGTTGTGTCTCATGGCATAGGAAGGCCCAAGGAGATGGAGAGAGATATAGCAATAGTTAGCTGGTTGGTGGAGCGTTCAGAACACACACAACTTTATTGTTTAAGTTCCACATATATGGGCATGGATAGCGTCAAGTCAAATCAACTATAATAGTAACATAAAGATCACTAATCACAGGTCACTATCACAGATACAATAACAATGAATAAGTCTGAAATATTGTGAGAATTACCAAAATGGGACAGAGGGACATAAAGCACATACTTTTGAAAAAATAATGTCAATAGACTTATTTAATGTAGGATTGCCACAAACTTTCAATTTGAAGAAAAAAAAACCACCAAAATATGTGAAGTGCAATAAAGTGAAGTTCATTAAAACAAATTGTGCCAGGAATAAAAACTAGCAAGATCACAGAATCAACCTATACTTAAAAGTATTAGAAATATGGAGGCAAATAGGAGAAATAGCTAAAAAGAGTTGGAAATACTTGCCTCTGGAAAGTAGTAATAAGCAGAGAAAAACTAATTTTCAATATGAGATTTTTGCTATAATCTTATTTTTACAACTTTGTACATAAATGGCTTTGGTGAAAATTAAAATAAAAATCAATCATTAGACTGGTATGTCTCTTATTGATCAACAATAAACAACAATATTGATACCCATGTACTACGCTGAGAGCCTTGGGTGAGCCTCTAAGACTTGCTGGTTTTAGATACCAGAGAGATCACAGGGGTTAGAGCACCAAGCAGACTCTTGATGTCCCTGATTCCAGGACTTGACTCTTGGATTGCATTTCTGAACCTGCCTTCAGCCAGAGGGGAGCCCACTGTCCTGAAGGTTGAATCCCAGGCCAGGCATAATTCAACAGAAGCTGATTAAAGGGCCCTTGCCCTTAAGGAAACATTGGCAGTAGTCTGTTAGTACTCCCTGTGGGCCTGAAGTGGTTGTGGCTGTGGGTTGAGGCTCCCTTGCATTTGAAAATGGGAGGGAAGAGTGGGAAAGACCTGAGCCTTGTGGTTTGAGTGATAGCTCAGCCACAATATGATAGAACACCAGGTAGACTTTAAGATTTTTGACTCCAGTTTCTGACTCCTGCATGGCATCTCTGGACCCACATGGGGCCTAGGGCACCTCACCACCCTGAAAGGAAGAACACAGGCCTTGCTGGCTTTGCTGCCTGCTGATTGTAGAGCCCCAATGTCTTGACAAACATAGGCAATAGTCAGAGATTAGTTAACAGCAGACCTTGGGTGAGGCTCAGAAATGTGCTGGGTTTAGGTGTGACCCAATGTAGTCATAGTTCTGAAGGCCACAGTGGTGCTTATCCCACTCCAAACCCAGATTTACGTGGCTCAGAACATAGAGAAAGACTGTATGTTTGGGGGAAATTAAGCAAGAGAACAAGAATCTCTGCCTGGATATCCAGAGAATTCTGGATGTTGTTCAAGACCATCAAGGTGGTACCGCTACAGCTCTGCAAAAACCACAGCATTACCAGGCTTGGGGTGCTCTCTAAAGCGCATACAGCTTATATTACAACAATCAAGTTCTTTCAAATACCCAGAAACTCTTCCAAAGAAGGATGGCTGCAAATAAGTCCAAACAGTGAAAATTATGGTAAATACTTTGCTCTTCAATGCCCAGACAGAAAAATATCTACTAGCATCAACACCATCCAGGAAAACATGACTTCACCCAATGAACTAAATAAGGCACCAGGAGCCATTCCTGGAGAAACAGAGTTATGTGACCTTTCAGGAAGAGAATTCAAAATAGCTGTTCTGAGCAAACTCATAGAAATTCAGGATAATAAAAAGAAGGAATTCAGAATTTTATCAGATAAATTTAACAAGACATTGAAATAAAAAGAATGAAGCAGAAATTCTAGAGCTGAGAAACACAATTGGTATACTGAAGAATGAATAAGAATCCTTTAATAGCAAAAATTATCAAGCAAAACAAAGAATTAGTGAGTTTGAAGACAGGTTATTTAAAAATACACAGAGGAGACAAAAAAATGATTTTAAAGCAATAAAGCATGCCTATAGAACATGGAAAATAGCCTCAAAAGGTCACATCTGTTATGGGCCCTAAAGAGGAGGTAGAGAAAGAGGTGAGGTAGAAAGTTTATTCAAATGAATAATACCAGAGAACTTCTCAAACTTAGAGAAAGATATATCCAAGTACAAGAAAGTTATATAACACCAAGCAGATTTAACCCAAAGAAGACTACTTCAAAACATTTAATAATAATCAAACTCTCAAATGTCAAAGACAAAAAAGGAACCCTACAAGCAGCAAGATAATAGAAACAAATAAGATACACTGGAGCTTCAAAATTCTGGCAGCAGAATGTTTACCGGAAACCTTACAGGCAGGAGTGGCAAAACATATTTAAAATGCTAAAGGAAAAACAACAACAACAACAACAAAAAAACACTTTTACCCTAGAATAATATATCCAGGAAGAATATATTTCAAATATGAAGAAGAAATGAAGACTTTGCCAAACAAAAGCTAAAGAATTTCATTAATATTAGAACCATCCTACAAGACATGCTAAAGGAAATGCTTCAATTGGAAAGAAAAGAACATAACTGAACAATAAATAATCACCTGATGGTACAAAAATCACTGGTAATTGTAGGTATGCAGAATAATGGAATGTCATAACACCATTACTGGGATATGTGAATTATTATTCTAAGTAGAACACTAAATGATAAACTAATTAAAAATAATAACTTCAGCAACTTTTCAAGACATGGTACAGTAAGTTAGAAACAACAAAAAGTGAAAAACATGGAGATAAAGTAAAGGTATAGAGCTTTTATTAGTTTGATTTTTGCTTGTTTGTTTAAGTAGTGTTAAATTGTTATTAGGTTAAAAACAATGAGTTATAAGATAGTATTTGCAAGCCTCATGGTATTTGCAAGCCTTAAACCAACAAACATACAATAGATACACAAAAAATAAAAAGCAAAAAATAATTGTATCACTAGAGAAAATCACCTTCACTTGAGGAAGACAGGAAGAAAGAAAGAAGGAAGAGAAGACCACAGAACAACCAGAAAACAAATAACAAAATGGTAGGAATAAGACTCTACTAACCAACAATAACATTAAATTTAAATAGAGTAAATTGTTTTTATTACTCAGTTCTCACATTGCTATAAAGAAGAACTAAAGACTGAGTAATTTATAAAGAAAAGAGGTTTAATTGGTTCATGGTTTCACAGGTGATACAGGATGATTTATTGTCTATAAGAAACATAATTCACCTATACACATAGACTAAAAATAAAGGTATGGAAAAATATATTCCATGCCAATGGAAACTAAAAAGGAACAGGAGTCACTATAATTATATCAGACAAAATAGATTGTAAGACAAACACTGTATAGAGACAAAAACAAGGTCATTCTATAATGATAAAGGGGTCAACTCAGCAAGAAGATATAAGAATTTTGAATACATATACACCCAACACTGGAGCACTCCAATATCTAAAGGAAATATTATTAGAGGTACCAAGAGATATAGGGTCCAATACAATAGTAGCTGGAGACTTCAACACCTCACTTTTATTATGGACAAATCCTCCAGATAGAAAATCAACATCAGACTTAATCTCTGCTATAGTCCAAATGGATCTAACAGATATTCACAAAAAATTTCATATCAGCTGCAGAATACATTTTTTTCTCAACACATGAATTATTCTCAAGGGTAGACCATATGTTAAATCATAAAACAAGTCTTAAAACATTGAAAGAACATGAAATAATGTCAAACAGCTTCTCTGGACAAAATGGAATAACTAGAAATCAATAACAATAGAAATTTTGGAAACAATACAAACTACATGGAAATTAAACAATATGCTCCGGTATGAACAGTACGCCAATGAAGAAATTTAGAATAAACTTGAAAACAAATGATAATGGAAACACAACATACCAAAACCAATGCGATACAGCAAAAGCAGTACTAACAGGGAAGTTTATAGTTTTAAGTGCCTACACCATGCAAGAGAAAAAACTTCAAGGAAACTAACAATACATCTTAAACAACTAGAAAAACAAGAGTAAACTATACCCAAAGTTAGTAAAAGAAAAAAATAATAAAGGTCAGAGCAGAAATAAATGAAATTGAAATTAAAAAAAAAACTATAACAAAGATAAATGAAAAAAATGATTTTTTGAAAAATTAAAATGACAGACATTCCAACAAACAAAAAAGAGAGAATATCTAAATAAATATAATCAGAAATGAAAAAGAAAATATTAAATTTGATATTGCAGAAATTCAAAGGATCATTATTCACTACTATGAGCTACTATAGGCCAAAAAATTGGAAAATTTATAATAAATGTACAAATTCCTAGATATATACAACCTACCAAGACTGAAGCAAAAAGAAATAGAAAAACTGAACAGGGCAATAACAAGTAACAAGGTCAAAGCCATAACAAAAAATCTCCCAATAAAGAAAAGTGCAGGACCCAATGGTGTAACTGCTAAATTCTACCAAATGTTTAAAGAAGAATTAATAGCAATCCTATTCAAATTATTTCAGATAACAGAGGAGAAGAGAATACTTCCAAACTCACTTTACAAGACCAGTATTACCCTGATGTCAAAAATGAGACAAAGACACATCAAAAACAAGAACCTGACGATTATATGCCTTGGGGTATGGACACAGGGAGGGGAGCATTACACACTGGGGTCTATTGGAGGGAAATAGGGGAGGGACAGTGGGGGGTGGGGAGTTGGGGGGGATGGCATGGGGAGAAATGCCAGTTATAGGTGAGGGGGAGGAAGGCAGCAAATCACACTGCCACGTGTGTACTTATGCAACAATCTTGCATGTTCTTCACATGTACCCCAAAGCCTAAAATGCAATTAAAAAGAAAAAAAACAAGAACCACAGGCCAATATCTCCAATGAATATTAACACAAAAATTCTCAATTAAATACAACAAATTTTAACAATAGATTTGAAAGATCCATTTATTGTTATCAAATAGGATTTATCCCAAGGGATGTAAGGATGCTTAAACATATACAAATCAATCAATGTATTACATTGTATCAACATAATAAAGGCTAAAATATCTGATTCTTTTACTTGATAATTAAGCATTAGGTGATATTAAACATCCCTTTTATGATTAAGATTTCTTTTAAAATCTTATTATAGAAGGAACATACTTTAACATACTAAAAGGCATATACAGTAGATCCAAAGCTAGGATAATACTGAATGTGGAAAAATCTGAAAGTCTTTTTATATGAGATCTGGAACACAACAAGAACACCCACTTTCCCCACTGTTGTTCAACATAATAATGGAAGTCCTAGCTACAGCAATTAAACAAAAGAAACATACAAAGAACATTCAAATTGAAAAGAAAAAAAGTCAAATTTTACTTGTTTGCAGATGACAAAATCTTATATTTAAAAAAAAAAAAGACTCCACAAGAAAATTGTTAAAACTGATAAATTCAGTAACGTTATAGAATACAAAATCAACATATAAAAAATTATACTTCCATGTTAACAGTAAACAATGTGGAAAAAAAATTAAAAGTAATAACACTTAGA